GTGCCTTTTTAACCATTTTCGGCCGATAATTTTCGGCGGCCGAATATTCGGTGCATCCCTAATATATAATATATATTAAATAATGTATTACAGTATATTACATTGTTGTCCCTGCATCTGGTAATATCTTCCTAAATAACTACGTCTGAAAGCAGAAGTTTAGGGCAAATAATTGAAAGTAAATATTCAACAATTACACCACACATTGTATTGTATATTATATTCTTTGCAAGCTCTTGCGGGCCACATCAAATTAGGTCGCGGGCCGGAATTGATTATTTTCTGTTTTATAGAAAGGTTTGTTTTGCACACCAGAATTATTTTTGGGTGGGAAATTGTTGCTCTGTTTGGGATTGTGCAACTGCGAGTTTAAATCACACTCATTAAAACCCATTAGNCGGGCCACATCAAATTAGGTCGCGGGCCGGATTTGGCCCCCGGGCCTTGAGTTTGACACCCCTGAACTAAGTGATCTCATTTTTAAGTAAACCTAATCTGAGGTTCCGTTTTCTGCAAAAACACATCTCCCCTCCAGGGAAATACGCTCTTGGGCTATCAATTCATTTGGATTATTTTCTGTTTTATAGAAAAGTTTGTTTTGCACACCAGAATTATTTTTGGGTGGGAAATTGTTGCTCTGTTTGGGATTGTGCAACTGCGAGTTTAAATCACACTCATTAAAACCCATTAGAGGAAGTCAAGTGGCGATCCCTTTGTGGAGCTCAATTAACAAAAGGGATTTACTGTACGGAGAGTTTTGTCACTGGAGAAGAAGATAATGCTTTTAATGAGTATCATTGAGTTTGTATTCTCTTTGTTCTTCATGAATCTTCTCATGTACAGATTGTGTTGAACTGCTGCTACTCCATCAGATGATTTTATGCTGTGTTTCCCCATCTTTGATAATGAGGCCTCGCTGCCTCTCACTTGATCATTATGCTGAGAACTGGATGAACCCCAAGATGGTGAATTTCACCTGCTTCTATACATTCAAAAAATACTGTAGCTTTACCTTGGAAGCTTATCTTCTTATTGAGTTTGCAATCACATCAAATACACGTTTATTTTAATTTAAGTACACTTTTGTTATTTTTCTATTTTATTATTTCCGGTTTATTTTGCACCTGTATTTCCTGAAAAAAGTAGACCAGGAGAAGGAAAGGTCCAGTCTCCTGCTTCACAGCTCCTGCTTGTAAATAATTAAACTTGTGTCGAATAACGATACATATGAACACTCAAATTAAAATACAAGTACATTTGATTCTGTTTCAGATTACAGCCTGCAAATGACAATTATTGAATTACTGGATTAATGAATTATGAGCCGTAAGTAAAGAAGAGAAAGGGGTTGGGGAATAACTTTAGTTTGCTAGAGATTTTAATGATTGCGATTACATATCATTAGTGTGTGTGCGTGCGCATGCATATATATGTGTCCGCAGCTAATCTCACATACTACTGTAAAGTTAATGTGTGTTTTTGTTCATATTTATGACCGTTTGCTCAAAATGTTCTGTGTTTGTTGTGATCCCTGATTTAAAAGTATATATTTTATTTGACTATTCATACCGTCCGTCATTGACTGCTCGATTACTCCTACCAGCCGCAAGTTATCAACATCTTCAGTTTGGAATATAGGGATTACAAATTGTTCCAGATTTACACATCAGGAAAATACTTCTTATCTAGGCTACCAGCGTGTCAGACGCAGGCTACAGATACATTTTATTCAATGCACCAGCTCGGTAATACAAAGTTGTATTGGGGTCCAATGTACAGTAGAATCTATCTGACATTGGAAACTGATATTGGACAAGAATTTACAGCAGTTGTTTTTGTGGCCATATCATTTTAGTATGTGTGTCAGAAACAACAAAGAGCATAAAGAAACAATGTGGCAAGCTGTTCATTCTCAAAGGAAAAATATAATTTGTGGGTAGAAGTCTCCAGCGGTGTCTTAAGTTTCACACTTGAAAAGCAAGCTGGTCTCTAAAATATAAACCCATCGCTCAATGCAGCCGTGTCCAGTAGAAGCAGGCGGAAGGATATCGTCTGATGTCTGATGGGAAGTTGGTACTTTGTTGTTTTTGTAATAATTGAACCAAGACTTGTATACACTTGACAAACATCGCCAATCTGTTGTGTCACCGCGTGACAGCGGCTGGCGTTTGCTTTGTGTTGTCATCGGTCTGTCACTGCTGTTATTATTCATGCCGACGGCTTTTGTAGGAACCTGCCTTATTCTGTTGTTAGAAAAATAATAACCCAGAATAAACTCCAGTGTGTGCGGTGACTCCAGCAGCTACAGCTTGTATTACTTTGTCACAGCCATCATTCTTCTTTCACTGCTGCTATCACTCATTCAGAGGGATCATCTGCTATCATCAGCTCTGTGTGTTGTTGTTGTTTGTGTTGTTGGATTTTTCCAAAAAACCTTCCACAAAAGGTAAAAGATTACAGAGGATTGGTGGATAATCCTTATGACAATGATGTCTTTATGTTATCATTTGTTCAGCCACTCATAAACAGGGACCGAATATCATAAATAGCCATGTTTCTTTATACAGTGATAAATGTCTCATCATAATCTAAACAAGCAGATATTATACCCATTACTGTGTGCCAGCTATTAATAACAGCGCTTTGTCACCACTGCCATCACTCAGGGGGGTGCTGTCTGCGAGTCTTATTTATGTGACCAAATAAATGAATAACGACTGAAGTAAACACATGGAGACGGAGTCTTTACTCTGCACTCATGTGTCACACTGCAGCACTCCCCGAGGATATTTAAAGAGTGAAAGTGGAGGTCTAGAGATGAATTGTTGGTAAGTGTCAGCAGCACGTTGCAGTTAGTTTTCTGGTTTTTAACGATAGATGGATTTTTTATTGAGGCCAAGAGTCCAAATATTATCTCTATAATTGTTAAGTTATAGAAGGAATATGAAAAAGTAAATATCACTCTTGTGCATACTTGCCAACCCTCCCGATTTTCGCGGGAAACTCCCGATTTCACTGCCCTCTCCCGGTTTCCTCCCGGGGTCATATTTCACCCGCATTTCTCCCAATTTCTGACAAAATCAGATTTACTCAGGACTGTTTCCACTCGGACTTTAATACAGCTACACCATTGTTTGGTTTCCATGGTAACACGTCTCTTTAGCAGCGCGCGCAACTGAAAGTCTGAGAGGGTGAGGAATATAAAGTCACAGAAAACAGAACAAGAATCGAAAACCCGACCCTCTGCTCACTCTTTTCCTGTAGGCAGTGCACTTACAACTACAATAAGCATGTTAATGTTAATCTAATACAGCTCCGGCGATCCACTAGCTCCCCCCCCGCGGTGGTTTTGGAAATGCTCCCGATTTCTGAGGTCTCAAGGTTGGCAAGTATGCTCTTGTGTCTGTGTGTTAAATATAGAGCTGGAGTCGGTAAACAAAGTCAGTTTAGTTTAGCAGTTTCATGATAATGCTTTTTGTCTGATCAAGTCTTTCTAGCATCACAGCAGCTCTATTTGCAATACCAATGAAGAAAAGTGAAAAACACATTTAACATGTCACCAAAGACGAAAGATGTTCGAGACCCTTCGACATAAATTGATCTGAGATTAAGCACCACATTTATTTTTAGGATGAACTAACATCTCATTAAATCTACTTTAGGATATGGTTGTTGCTAGCAGGCCTTATTATATTCTTATGACTGACCTGCAATCTTCAGTCTTTGAGCAGAGTTTCATTTGATGAGGCAGTTTTGATTTTCAAAGCGGTGGACAAACATCTGTAGGCTGCAAATGTGGTATAACTGTAGAGCACTCAGAGCATAGAAGTAAAACACTAAAGAATAATTGTTCTGCTCGCCTCGAAACACCTAAGGCGGCGGAGGAACTAAACATTTGTTTTATTCTTCTGCAGAATGTGCTCTTTCCCAGATAGTACATTGTCTATCATTACACCCATATATTTGGATTCAAATCCATGCTTGTTTTTCAATTTGGATAGGAGTCTTCTACTCCTACCGTTAGCAGAAGGCATAGCTAGTTCTAAAATGTTAATATATATATATATATCTTGTATAACCTATGGGTGGTACTGACCTGTCTGCAAACATAAAGTCTGAAATGTTCTTTACTGTTCTGTTATGCTGTATTTTCTATACATATTAATGTGCTTACCTGACAGCTTAATGCTGTTTCAAAGCTTTCTCTACACTGCTCATTTCAATTGTATGTTTTGTTTGTGTGCGTAAAACCATAACATGAAAGGACATTGGTAAAAAAAAACCTGAATGTAATAATAAATGATAATATAAATTCTTCATGCTGTAATTTCCAGAAACGATGTCATTTGAGATGAACAAAATGAACTAGCTGAAAATGAAATGATTGCCCAAAGATGAGGTTTCATGGAACAATGAAAAATAACAGGCAAAAGAGCCAAACTGCGAACCTGGTTTTAACCGTTCAAAGTGAAATTGATCAGATGAAAGCACGGACAATCATAGACCGTGGCCGTTTCTCAATCGCGAGGAAACTGGCTTCCAAGCCAATATTTCAAGGATGCTACGTCATTGAGTGCCGCCGAAGGACTTTTCCAATCTCCAGCATACTCGGAATTCCAGCGAGGTCGCGTCCTTGGTTTGGGGGTAATTTCGAGGCTGCACATGGCTAGACTTCGCGTCCTTCAAATCCCCACAATGCTTTGCGCACGGACCAATTTCCCCAAATCTGTGGAGGAAAATGTAAGGCGGGGCCTCTCATATGCACACTTGCTAGCCTGTTCTGCCCTTCGTTTTCCGAATGCCAGGAAGGATTCTTGCCTAGCTTCTGAAGGAAGTGACTCGGAAGACATGTGCTACCAAGCAAGCGTACTCCACATTGAGAAACGGCCACATTGTTTTTAAGAGGAGGCTTCAGTGCTAAGCTACATCAAAAGGACCTGAAGTATCAAAGTGTCAATGATCGTTGTGTTCCCCACTACCAGAGGTCAGCTGCTACTCACTCAGGCAGATGTTGTCGTGGAAGGCGGTGAGGAAGAGGCTGCACTGCTCCCTGTGGTTCCCACTCGCTGCGCAGGAGCACCACGGCCCCACGTTGGAGGTGGAGTTGTCAAGATAGTTAGGAGTTATTGTGCTTCCTGTAGAGAGGAGGAAATAACACAGATATGTCAGTTCAGAGGCATGGCAACGTCACACAACTTCCCATATACTAGGTTTACAAAAATAATGAATCCAGCAATGGAATAGGAAGCAATCTCTTATTTTATTTAACTGAAATTACCTATCTTTTATGTTTCTTCAAGCTTTTGAACCTCCTAAAAAGAGCAGTTTTGTCAGTAAGACTGAGAAGTGTAATGTCTTAACAAGCAGAACTGACTTTTTGAATCTGGTTATGCTTGATTAAATCTTACACTGATTACAATAATCAAATAAAAGGCGTTTGAATGGTAATTTCTATAATCGTAGTGTTGCTAAAAGCAGGTTGATTGATTAATTGGTGCGCATGTAAATGTATCAGCTGTGAGAGAAACTGTGGCGAATTTAAAAAGAGGAATAGATGAAAGCAGAGGGAACAGAGACAGGCAGGTTAGATACGTCTGTTGGGCCTAGGCTTAACATTACTAGGCCCAAAATGAATACCGTATACATCTTGATGGGAATAGCTAGGAATAGGAATACGGTTATCTGCTTCTTATTTTCTATGTGATTTCCTTCAGGGATGTATTCATCAGAGGCATACATAAAGATCACAGAGCTGCATGTTTGTACAGCATCGCCCTCCTGACCCATCGTATTCGATGTTAACAGACCAAGTTCAAACCGTGATTAGAGCACTGGTCATTCTTAGCTTTTCTTTGAGTTTTCCAACATTCATATCCACGGCAGCAGGCGGTTTAGAGGACTTTGATCACAGAGTTCCCTCAGATGTATTCTTTTTATTCCTTTCTGCCTTTGGAGCTTTTCAGCAGGAAGTCATTCTGCAGAAAGGGTAATATAGCCTTGCAGCTTGTATTCTTTTTAAAAGAGGTGGGAAATAGAATTGCTACACTTTGAGGCAGTGTGGCGAAAAAGTTTTGATTTACCTCCATTGATTTTCTGTGTCCCAGACTTCCAAACAACAACACCTTAAGAGTCTCACTTCTACGCTAGATGAGAATGGCCAATCACTGCTGCCCACCTTCCTGACTCTTTATCTGTGCCCCTCTGTCACGTTGCAAACTAAACAACCTTTTTGTCCTCCTCATTTCGCAGCTGTTCAGTGTGGTATTGTTGTCCTATACAGTAATGACATGTTTATACTGAGTTGATTTTAACAAGCTTTTGTGCATTATGTGATCTTTTGTCAAGTTTTTATCTAAAGCGCAATAAGCTGTGTTCTACACCTCTGCCTGCTCCTACTCATAGTCACGTCAGGGATAATTCCCTCAAAACAGCGGTCAATAGTTGTAATTGCACTACTTATAATGCCAACGACTTGTCCGAGCAGGCTGCAGCCACATTAATCAGCGCTCTATCGATTGTTGAACACCGCTTCTCATCACAATCGTTGATTCATTCTTTTGAGTCCTGTTCAGTGCACTTGTCTGCTCTCTGCTTTCCTCCCTCTAAAACCTTTTTGTTGCTGATCCATCACAGAAGGTGGGAGAGCCGGAGCTGGCACAGAAAGATTTAGTTCTTACCAATCAGGCCGGTGTACGCAAGCAGACACGCTCCGTAGTTCTCCTGCTTGCAGCCGCTGGCGCCCTGCTCCGACGGTTGGCAATCATACTGGAACTGCGCCCAGCGAGACCTGTGGGAGCAATAACATGCCATCCATCATTTACTTGTGCTTGGCTGCTGCACACATTGTGTTACTGGGGGGTGCCCGGCGCTGGGGTTTCTCTCTCAATGACAGCATGTGGATCTGAAACCCACTACGCTAATCTACCTACCTGTACTCCTACATGAACTCCCTCCACTCGTCAAGATCTCCCGCTCTGCAGCACTTTAACCCTGACTCCAGTCACCTCTGGACACATTCATCCCTCTTTTTTTTTCCTCCCCACTTTTTCCCAGCCCTCCTGGAAGGCTGCCAGTCTACAAGGAGTCAATGAGGGGCAAAGATAGGCCTTGACTCTGCTCTCTAACTACCGTGGGTGCTGTCTGGCAGGCCTGGCTGCGAGCCGATTAGACAAATATGGATCTCACACAGAGATATTTCCTCCCACAGCCGCTCTGCCTTCAGTCATTCACCTTTCCTGCCAGTCGGCAAGACATCTAGCCTCATCATCATCATCATCATCACACAAGGCTATCGCGGCCATCATATCACATCAGCGGCCCGGTCGCCTGGCATTTGTAACGGGATCCCCTCGGGGCAACACAACTCCCCGCTCTCCCCTCGTCTGTCATGTCATTGTAATGATGCACGTAGAACTCATAGGCTGTGTGCTAAGTGAAGGCATCCTCTGCAGGCTGCCGGTTAATGCCAGCTGACTGGTGGGGGGATTGGGGGGCTGCGCAGGGGCCTTGAGATGCTCCATCCATCGGAGCGGCGGTGCAGAATAATGCCTGATCGATAGCCGTGACAGATGAAGCCCTTTGTCTTTCTGACATTTGAAGAAGAACTAGATTAAACGCTGGCCACCATTTGCCGTCAGAGAGCGGAGGATGACAGGGTGTGTATGAGAACTCCATGTTTTCACTGCCCAGTCATTGAGAGAAATGCACACTCTGAATTTTAATGACTTTGATAAAGACATGGCTTGTTTTCTGATTGGATGTTGACACCCAATTACAATTTTAATGCAATCTTTGTTTTCATCAGTGTCTCACATAGGCCACAGGAATTTAAAACAGAGTAAATACAGACAACTTGTCTTGTGCAGAGGGTCAGGCAGTTTGCTGATCTTGATGATGTCCCGTTAGTAAATTGATAAATATTTTCTGAGCACCTTGGCAGGAGAGTGTGTGTGATTCCCGATTGATTATGGCCGCTCTAATAATGATTATTTCACACAGTGGCTTATTGCCTGGCGGCTGTTCAATTCTGCTTTCAGAAAATGTGGAGTTGAATTGAACTAATTAAACACAGTTAATGAGTGTAACAATTGAATTAATTAAACACAGCTGACTAATTAAATCTAAATGAACATATCATACCAGCCAGACCTATCTTCCAAAACACACAATGCCATTTATTCTCCTGAGAGAAAGTCATTATGCCTGGCTGCCACATCAACAAAGCACTTCATATAGAACACAAAAGTGGAGAAACTACTGCCGCATTAGGCCATGAAAATAAACTTGAGCAACTTGTGTTCAAAGGTTATTTTCTGTCAACACCTAACTTTTTAGATGTTGCAACTCATATTGCCTCACAATAAAGAAAGTAACATCACAGAGTTCAGCTGCATGTTTGAAGGAAAGAGGTGTTAGAAGCTTTGCTGCACTGTGACTACGACTTGTTTGTGAATTACTGCAGCTTGCAAGTTCACTGCTAACAAGCTAGCTAACCAGGACTGTGGCTCAAGTGAGGTATTTAGCTATTGGCTAGCTAGCTTGGTTGCTATTGTAATAATTAGCCCACAGAGTTTATTCAAAAGACATGTACCATTCTCAAAAAAGTCTACAAACAATGCCTCTTCTGTGCAGAGGTATAAATAAAAAGTGGATTTGCCCAAATAGCTTATTTTGTCTTGTACCTTTCTTTCAAAAGGTCAGTACTGTCAAGACTGATGGTTCTCAAGGGTCTCACTTTGAACACTAATTATGGTGTTTGGACTGAAATAAAGTGGGTTTGACATGACATTTTAGAAGCATGTGTGATTGACCCATAGGTGGCAGAGCAAACGTCTTATTAAAGATACATTAATTGAAAGGGCTGTCTCAAAGAATGACATACAGCTCAACATAACTACTGTACTTTAAAGTTTTAGTTCTGTTGTTTACTTTGTTTTCAGCACCTGTAAGGTAGTTTATGTGAATCTAACCCTACCTGCTCAGGCAACAGTTTGCAACACACAAAATAATCAACTCATGCAGCTTCAATATAGGAAACTATCAGTGGCAATATGTCCTTTTTAAGGTATAGCATAATTACTGACAATTCAGGGAAGCGTTTTCCAGTCCCTTTCGTTGAGTTCCCCCGGCTCTCTCTGACTATTCATTGCAGAAGAGCTGTCCAGTGTGCAACAGCAGAGAGCCAAAGTAAATAAGCGTTTAGCGAAGCTGGTCAAACATCTAAGACAAAGAGGCCTAGATAATTTTCTCAGGAGTTGGCAGATCAAACAAGATGTTGGATGTGTCAGTAACCTCAGGCAGGTGTGTGCTGACAAGTGAAACATAAAAACCCTGATAAGCTGATATAGTGTATCAAAGCTTGTTTCTACATTTATGTACGTTTTCTCCCTCTAACCTTCACAAAATAAAATCTATTTCAGCTTTAGCTCTTTGATATCAGCACACCAGAGCGGCCCTTGAACACAGCACAACTTTCTAAATCAATCAGTGTTTGCTGTCATGGATTACTTCTTTTCTTTCTTTCTTTCTAAAGAAACTACAAATTCCATTTTATAGACGTATGTAATGCAAAACAAGGACACTTTACAAAATGTAACCAATATCTTAAAATGGTTTGATGCTTTAGTCAGGGCTGCCAACATTTGAGTTCAGCTTGGATTGAGATTTTTTTTTGGTGAACCGAAAAAAGAAGCGTTCATGTGTACAGTGTTACAAATGTATTGAACATGTACAAACTAGGGTTTCCCATTAATGTACCGGGCACTACAGTGGAACACGCACATACACAGTGTACCCGTGACTCTTACAATGAAGGCTCGATAATCAGCTCACAGCATATAAAATGGCATATAGGTGTAAGCAGAGGTAAAGTGCTATTTTATAAGTGATGGGGGGGGGTCCTCACCTCCTCCAGGGGGGGCCGGAGGCATGCTCCCCCGGGAAGATTTTTAATTAAATATTGAAGTTAAATGCATCAACCTGGTGCACTTTGAGAGCAAAAATAATTTATGGTAAACAGATTTTCTTTTTCTTTTTTTTTTTGATTTTACAAATCACTCATCTTTTAAACTGTATTCTTGTTTTACTGTCACATAGTATTTCATAACTGTTTTTCATTTATTCTCATAAATGGTGACCAAAACGTTTGAGACCCACTGAGATAACTAGACTAAAGTTAACTAACTAAACACTCAGAGAGCCCCTTACCTCACTGAGCTGTAGTTATCTNGCCGTGCTTGTCGCCGCGTTTTGATTACGTCATCACAACAACACGTTAGCTTACCAACGTAACCCTGTTCTCTGACATTCGGTGATATTTTTTCGGTGCTAGAACTCTTTCGGCCGAAAGCCGAAAGGGCCTTTTTAACCATTTTCGGCCGATAATTTTCGGCGGCCGAATATTCGGTGCATCCCTAATATATATATATATTAAACATTGCCATTTAACACAGCTCCCTGTCTACCCTCACAGGCCTAAAGGTCGGAACAGAAAGTTGTGGAAGGATGAGGGTCGCTGGGACCACGACAGGTTCAGGGAGGAGGAGCAGGCGCCCAAAAGCCGCGAGGAGCTCATCGCCATCTACGGCTACGACATCAGGAACGGCGGCGGCTCCGGAGAGCGGCCGTACCGGCAGCGCAGGCCGAGGTGAGCAAGAATAATAATCCGTCATTTAGAATGTATTTCAGTGATCCTTAGTAGTGCTGCAGGGATGATATATTCGTGCAGTCTGACCCTGAAGGTAACATCTCCCTGGTTCCCCCCACAAATAACTGTCTCTTTATCCTGTTATTATGATAATGTCCTAATCAGTTTCTCTGACAAATGATCAACAGTGTGCAATAACTAGACCCTCCAGAAAAACGCGCACAAAAATCCTTGATTATGCGGGCTAAAATCCTTGATTATGCGATTAAACATGTAGGGTTTTTCTACATGTTTAATCGCATAATCAAGGATTTTAGCCCGCATAATCAAGGATTTTTGTGCGCGTTTTTCTGGAGGGTCTAGTTATTGCACACTGTNTAGGAACCAGCATCTGAATAAAATCTTGGGAGCGCAGGCCATATAGACTTTCTCTTTGACACATATACTGTATGTGCAAATGTAGGAGGGATGGAACCAACCCAAGCAGAAAATTGGATGCATTGGGTTCTCGCTGATAAATAATTTAAAAAACAACCTACAGTATGCCTGGATAAGCCGATACTGTGAAGTCTTTCCGCCAGGATGATATGATCAACTGTGTCAAATGCCTTTGACAAATCAATAAATTATAAAAGAGGCCCTATTTAGCTTTTTGGGTTTTCCCTTTCCTGTAGTGTGTTCTATAGGTTTTTTGAGAGAAAAAGCCCAAATCCCCCCCTACAGTAGAGGCACGAAATACAAATATCAAACTGGAAATGAGCGTAATCTTTCCTCTTTAAGGTTGTAGGATGTCAATATGGTGATTCAACAGCAGATTTAGGACCCAAGATTCCCTAAAATCAGGCAAAGCATATTTCATTTTGTCAATGCCATGTGACTTTGTATGTAACCTTTATGATATATAGTAAGTATGTTAGTCACTGTTTGCAGGAAGCTAAGAAGGCAGATTTTAGTCTTAAAAAGAAAAGGGCATCCTTAGTTTGGGTTGTCATGACAACTGTCCTCTCTGCTTTGTGTTTGCAGGACTCAGCCTGGTGGAGGATTACCCGTATGAGCCGGAGGAGAGGGACTCCGACTACGTTCGTCTGGCCTCCATTGCTGCCGGTGAGTAGGAGAGCTCCATCCCATACAACGGTCTCTCCCCTCTAAATAAACAGAGGAGTAAAAGGCATTCAGACAATAAAAGCATCCATTTTTCACCTAAAACAATATCTGGGTCCAAACATTACATTACATTTAGCTGACACTTTTATCCAAAGCGGCTTACAATAAGTGCATTCGACCAGGAAGATACAACCTTGAAGAAAACAGAATCATATAAGTACATCAGGTTTCATAGAGCCAAACATTTCAAGCTATTTTGGAGCCAGGATAGCAAACTGACCAAGTTATGTGTCCAAAAAAATCCACTTGTTATCCTATGTCATTTCGACTGAATAGACGCAGGTATATGCTTGTGGGTTTGTAGAGCGTTTGATGAGTAACACCGCACACTTTGCTGCTTTCTTGCATCCGAGCCTGTGGGCAGGCTGCGGGGCGGGTATGGGCTGCTGTTAGCCCTCGAGGCACAATTAATTACCTATTTACTTTAATGCACGTGGAGGCAGCAAAGCTGGCGGTGGAGAAAGATAAAGAGAGACACAGCGAGTGTGAAAC